ACCCCCTGGGGAAGGAGGGGGGGGGCAAAATTTATTATGGTTTATTATGGCAAATGATACTTTGAATATTACATGTTAATAACTTGATTGGAATTATAACCTTGAATTGACAGTTTGATACTTTGAAAATTTTGAGCCAGCCCTACCCCCAAGGGCTGTAGGGTGGGGCTCAAAGGAGTCAGTGTGCTAAAATTTCTTCATTTTCCTTGTTAAGAATCAGAGATGCTAGTTTCAAATCCTTTTTAGTCTGAAATCTGTATGCTAGATATTGAGTAAGGTGGTTTTATTGTTTTTTTGTCACTTTGAATAATATTTCTGTTATGTTAAAAACAAAAACAACTCTCTGTATAAATATATCAGGTGACCGTTAAGGCCCATGGGCCTCTTGTTATATTTCTGGATCCAATTACCTACAAAAAACACACAAGACTACATGTAGCTAGTTTACTTTGATATGATTCAGACAGTAATCACGCCAGTTATCTAGCTTTCCTTCAAATGATAGTTTCTATAGTATGTGCGAATCCGCTGACTGGTCAGCAATCAAGAACCACAGTTAGAATCCTGTGTGTAGAACATCTCTCAATTAATCAAAGGATGCCACGCGCACCGTCACGTTCAATGAAGCATTGCAAGAAATTGTATAATCAACACTTTTCTAATCGTGGCAAAAGTACCTGTAACGTTGACCTTAAAGGACTTAAAGATAAAACAATATTGTTGAAATATGGTTTGATTTTAATCATGGACTTAAATGACTGCATGTATATTCCACTATGTACATTGTATACATTATTACGGTAGTTTACTGAATTGTGCTTGAATGTTCGTTTTTTTTGTTCTTAAAATAATGAAACAGCAGTTTCCGACCCTGCCGTGAATTGTTGTTGTTGGTTGATTGTATTAAAAAAAATAACGATCTTACGTAAACAGCATTTCAACTATCACAACCTAGAAAAGTTATATTTATTACAATGTTAATCATTGTTAAACACACACATTTGGAGCTGTTTCTATCAAACATTGAGCAAACCACGGAATGACTGACGTCACAAATGTTGCTGCGTGACGTCATTCAGGCGTGTTTACAACAATGTTTATTTAATGACATTTCAGTAAAATCTTCTGTATTGGTGAACGTCGGCATTTTGATACTTTGCGTTCTATATTCGGACGAATTATTAGCTGAAACCATTACTAATGTGACGAATTTGCCTTCACTAACATAAGCATGAGCTTGGACACAATTTAATTGTACAGAACCGCGATTCTTACATAGATCCCACCTCACCACGAGACGTATATATATACTACACTTCTACAATCTGCATATCTCTGCCCTAACCATTCCCAGTATGGCGGGGGGATTTACAAGAACATTTCTTTCGATTTTGTTGTTGTTGTTTATCTGAGTTGAAGTGAAGTAGAATGTATGAAACAAACCCCCTCTTTTCACATCTATTTCTAATGTAGCGGCATCAATGACGTGACCTACGTATACGTCAAATGTAGGCATGCTGCCAATCTTGGCAAAAAAAGGTGAAACTGGCGACTGCGCTTGCGTGGTGTTTGTTACTAAGATGAATCCTACCTTCAACACAAGAGAGTTCCGTAATCGTAACTTACGAAATCTTCGTAAGTTAAGTTTACGACGAAACTTACGAACGCTTTAGTAAAACAGACACTTCGTAACTTAAGTTTATACTTACGAAATTGGTAAGTTGGATTTTTTTGCGTAACTTAAGTTGCTTAGTAAAACTCACCCCAGGAGTTGTATAGGGTGAGTATGGATACATACCTACTGTAGGTTCTGTAGACACTTTAGTAAGGGGCACAGACACTGCCTGTCCACCAGAAGTTGTATCGGGTGAGTATGGATACATACCTACTGTAGGTTCTGTAGACACTTGAGAAAGTGGCTCATCATGCAGACACCAAGCCCAGTTTAGCTGCATCCCCAAGGAAAAGTGCACTGTGCAATTACTATATCACTGTGATCTTCACATCAAGGTCAAAGGTCAAATAAGTTCAAAGTTTCTAGTAAAATCTTGTCCATTGCATAATTTTTATTCCATTAAAGATATCTTGATGAATACTGTACTGTAATAGGTCACTGTGACTTATATCTCAAGGTCAAATGTCAAATAAGTTTAAAATTTCTAGCAAGACATTTTTTCCAGGCCATAAATATCAATATCATCAGGAGTGTAAAATTTTCGAGAACTCACCTCAAATTATGTAACTTCTTTGATTTTTGACGTAAAGGTGAACATCATGGTATTTTGATTAAAATATATTGCACAACATATTCTGCTGATGCAGGTATACTACAATAGATTCGCAGTGGAGTCATTAAAGTCACAAGACATTCACCTTCAGGTCAATTAAAGGTCAAATAAGTGCAAAGCAAATGTGCATATACGACTTTGGTTTAGTATTTTAGTTTTCTCCTCAGCTGTGTCTGTCTGTACTAGCCATTCTAGTGATACAGTACTTTGGTTTTCTTTGTGTTCAGCCGGTCGGGTCAGTACTCGATAGCATACAGCTGTCAACCCTAGCCAGGCAGATATGTGTGGTCAGTTTCTACTCAGAGACCAAGGCATTCCATATGCGACTTGTTGAATCGGCCTGCAGTAGTGGTGAGCTCAGCAAAGTGGACAAAGTTGGCTCCCTTGTCTCGAACCATGAAACCATCCCTAAGCTGCCCCGTGCCAAAATTTTCCTGGTATTTGTTGACTTCAATGAGCGAGACATAATTCTGGAGCACCCGGACAGAGAGATTGGTGACCTCAGGATGACCACAGTCCAGGGAGCTCGCAAAATGGGAGGTCAGTACACAGGGTCTTTGGCATATCTTTTATTCAAATTCAAAACAATTAAGCTATTGGATATGAGTATGTGTCAGAAATGTTATATTGTGTAGCGGAACTAGACTGGGGGGACCAGTTATCTCAATTGGTACAGCCTTCGTCTAGAGTTCAGAGGGTCCCAGGTTTGAACCTGGTCTTGCTGTTTCATTTCTCTTTCTCCTGTTACAAAATTTTCGAGCTGGCCATTCCTTGTTGCAATTAGCACTGGGTGAGTGCTTGGCAAGAGGACACACGAACCGGGTTATATTTATGTCCTTGGTGAGCGAAGACTTAGAGAAACAAACGGGGTTGTAAATATTTGTGTCTTCGGGAGGCGAAGACTTCGATAAAGGAGGGAGGAATGTAGCAGAACTGGACTGGGTCAATCCACGTAGCTCAATTGGTAGAGCGTTTGTCTATAGTTGGGAGGGTCCCCGGTTCGAGTCCTGGTCTATCTGTTACATTTCTCTTTCTCCTGTTACCATTGTTTTGTAACCCAGATTTACAGGATTTATAACAAGTGACATTTTATGTTACGACAGGTGATGTGTTTGTGGTGTACGTGAAGGACAAAGGTTCGCAAAATCTCAACTCTGATCACCTGTATAATGAACGTTTGAGGTCCATCATAACACATCCAGAACTGTCCGTTCTCAGTGGAAAGCAGCGTGTGTTGACAACGTATGACGAGTTTACGACGTTCCAGCGCACTCACCTAGCAAAGAGTTTCGTGAGGACTCTACAGAGATAGAAGCAGTGCCACGCAATGACAAGAAGATCAGTTTAGATTTACCTTAAGGACAATTATTAGTTTAGAATGCTTTTATCTCCTTTCAGATGAGTTTCACTACAGGAAATTCTCCTAAGTCTATATTTGATACTATTTACCAAGAAATTTTCATGGCTGTTCAATTTTTGCCTTTTTTGCCCCTTGCAATAAGGGCAAATTTATCATGACATCGTTCATTTGTACACTGTTCACCATTTTTAGTGATAACATGTCAAGGGCGAAATTTACACCGGGTGAATATAGATTTTACCAGTGAAGGGCAAATATTTGACTGGGCGAAAGTTTGCCGGTATACAGTATATGGTTCTTGGAGCTCATTTTTACCGTCATCAGATGGTGGGCTATTCAAATCACCCTGCGTGCGTGGGGAGTGTCCGTGTGTCCGTCCGTCCATCTGCCCATCAACCTTTGGTTTCTGTATTAAAAAATCACTTAAGCACTATTGATTTAGATGAAACAAGGGGAGGCATGTACAATTTACAATGTCTAGGGTTAATGTGGAAGATTAGTAAAATCTGTGTATCATTAATAAGCAAACTGAGGCCTGATTCGTCAATGTGCACACCTTAGTTTCTGCATGATAAACTTGTTTAAATATCATTCGATTGTAATGAAGCTTGCATCGGAAAATATGTACAATATACAAAGACCAAGCCTTCATTTTGTAAGTTTGAAGTTGAGTGAAATCAATTCATACTGAAGTTTTCGCAAAGCCTACATTTTGAAAGTTTGAAGTTGAGCAAAATCCATGTACACTGAAATTTCCACACGATAACTTGATTAAATACTACCAGATGAAGCCTGGTCAGTATCTGTATTGCCCTAAGACTAAAGCTTACTAGGTATTGATTGGCTAATACTTTGATATTATATTATAAAGGAGAAACATAGGTGTATAGGAAGGGGGATATAACTGGGAATAAATTACACAACATACAGAAGGTTTATGATATTGTGGGAGATTATCAAAACAATATTTCCAAAAAAGTTTGATTTCGTGACATAACTAAATGTACATACCGGTATATTAAATGGCAGCTCCGGCTGTATGCTCCCAGGGAGTTGAGAAAGGTATTGGCTGGTTGCAAAGGCCCTATAACCACGGATAATAGTTAGTGAACCTCTTTGAGACGACCTACGAACTAGGTTGTGATAAAGCGGTATATAAGAACCTCAAATTATTATAATTATTATTATTATTAAAGCAAAAGATGACGTTGTGTGTATTCTTGTCCATGTCTGATAAAGGTAGTGTTTTGTTTTGTTACTTCATTTGTATGAACTGGTGGTTGTATGATCTTGTATTTGTTTGAACTAATATAATTTTTTGTGAACTTAGTTTTGTATGAAACATCATTCACACAAACTAGTTTTCCTATATGGACTAATACTTCCATCATCTAGTTTGTTTATGAATTATTCATTGAAGGAATTAGGTTTTGTATGGATTAGGGTAAAACTATCAGACTTTGATTTTTATGAAATATTATTATTTATTTGTTTTGTAAAATTATACAGATATATGTACATGTAAACAACCTGTGGATGGAGGATGGAGTAACGATGTCCGCTCGATATCTCAAGTAATTATTAACGGATTAACTTCAAACTTCACAACAAGGTTAGTTACCATGAAACCTCGGACAAGTTCAATAACTGCCATTATCCGACCATAATTGTGGAGTTATGCTCCTTTATGGACTTGTCGAAACAGTGTCCGCTCGATATATCAAGTAATTATTAACGGATTCACTTCAAACTTCACAACAAGATTAATTACCATGAAACCTCGGACGAGTTCGATAACCGCCATTATCTGACCATAATTTGTGGAGTTATGCCCCTTTATGGACTTGCCGAAACAGTGTCCGCTCGATATCTGGAGTAATTACTAACAGATTAACTTCAAACTTCACAACAAGGTTAATTACCATGAAACCTCGGACAAGTTCAATCTTACAAACAACTACTCATTCAATGTGTGAGGGGCGTATTATATACCGCTCGCGGTAACCTTGTTAACTCTGATAATACTGTTATGTAAGTGTGTGGTTTTATTCTTTTGGGTTGCAGTAGATTTGTACAACCTGCATACATTTTTACATACAGCAATCTATATGCCCTTTTAAAATCTAAAAAATACATCCCTAAGCTGACAATGAAATCCATCAAATATCACCAAGAGTTCTTCGCCCCAAGGGAGGCCGCTGTGGCCAAGTGGTGAATTGATCTGACATTCTGCTACCACTAGCCCTCCACCACTGGGTCGCAAGTTTGAGGCCTATGTGGGGCAGTCACCAGGTACTGGCTGTAGGTCGGTGGTTTTTCTCTGGGAACTCCTGCTTTCCACCACCACCACCAAAATCTGGCACATCCTTAAGTGACAATAGCTGTGTATAGGACGTAAAACGCAAACGAACCAAACCTTTGCCCCAAGGTCTTTTTCATCCTAAATTTGATCAATAAACGGCACTATGTCATTTTTTTTTTTGAAGTAATCTACATTTATTAGTTGGATCAACTGTGTGGTTTTCCAAGTGTGTAAGTGTATAATGACACTATTGGTGAAATTGTATCATTTATACTCATTATAAGTGCTCAGTATATCGATCATGAAATGGGGGTTCATTCCTGTGGACCGTCGGTATATATAAATACTTAAATATCTGATTTCATTGATTATTTGTGATGTTTCATATGGTTTTATTTAATTGTTTTTCATTTGCTTGAATTCATGATTTGAATCAGAATCAGAAAAAGTTACTTTTTCTTCCAACACAACTCCAACAACCCAGATGGAGTTTAAAATGGTCTGGGGTGGTTGTTGCAGTGTTTCTGCTTAAGCATTGAAATGAAATAGTAGAATAAAAAAGATGCCTTTGGAAGCATTCCTAAAGCAAGACAGAAAAATTATGCCCACATCATACATACACACATAGGAGATGTAAGCCAGGTCTCTTAGGAACAGTATCGATAGCACCGACCATAGTTTTACCTTCGACCCTAATAATTTATCTTTATGACCCCCCTCCCCCCCCCCCCCCCCCCCCCCCCCCCCCCCCCCTCCTTCTCCTCACTATAAAAAATTCCCTTCCAATATTTCTTTAGTCATGTTGCTGCAGAAGTTGATTCTGTTTTTGATTGGTTTTTTTTTATGTTGCCTAACTTTTCGTTTGTTGTTGCCTAATTGTTTTGCTGTTGTTTAAGTTATTTTCAGTTTTATGTGTATTTCTCTTGAAGTAGGAATCGGAATTCTCTTGAAGTAGAAATCGGAAATTGAAGCAAATGTTGTAAAAATGAATATAACATGTATGTCATGTAATGCAGATTTCTTGTGAGATAACACAGAATACTGTTTACCAGGAAAGTTTTGTCGCCGTTTAACTTTCAGTTGATATTATCACACTACATACAATATATTGCAATTACCTGTCAAGGGTGCAATTTAAAATAGGCGTGAACATGGAATTTAATGGCAAAGGGCGTATATTTGACTGCAATGGCGAAAGTTTCTTGGTATACAGTAAATCAATTTAAGAAAAAAGCATAATGCTTGTATGATGTTCAATATTTTTCCTTTTTTTCTCATAAATTTAAAATGTTTTAATTTCACACTTTAAACATACATATAATACCATTAGCTAATAATATATGATAATTTATTGGTTTACCGATGTGCTGAATTTTTGTCCAAATTCCTTCTGACATTTCCAAGAAGTTGAGAGGATCATATATTTTCGTGTTCAAAATCAATTTTCGCGCTTGCTTTGAAATATAATAAACTGGTTTTAAATGGTACAGCGTTTTTGTTTGATTTTTTTTAGTGTACAACCTAGCTAGTACACATGGTAGATGTAGCTCAATTTCTTTACCAAAAGAAAATTGTTTTAGTGTATGGCCTTTATATCCATAAGGTCTAGAAAATGAAATTTGTCTGGTAGCTTATGGGATAAAGGGCTATACAAATTGTTGAAGTGTATGACCCTGACCCACTTTCAAGGTGAAAGGGGAACATATATTAAAAACTTAAACCACTTCTTAAGATCCATAAGGTCTAGAGAAATGAAACTTGTCTGGTAGCTTATGGGATAAAGGGCTTTAAAAATTGAATGACCCTGACCCACTTTCAAGGCCACACGTTTTAGCTCATCTGGCACCAATACAAACTTTTAAACAACTTACTCTGAAATAATGAATTACAAAAAGGCCCAGGCTGATATTTTGCCATTAGGTACATGTACATATATGTACTGGGAATGGAATTTCTTCAAATAAATTATTTTTTCTTACCTAGGTTCAAGGTCGTAGGGGTGACTCATGTGGAAAAAAAAATGTCTTTAATTCTTCTGAATAACCAAGATGACGAGAGCAATAATATTTTGACAGTAGTATGTTTGGTTCAATGACTTCAAAGTATTGTCAAATAAATTATCTTGACTTACTTCAAGGTCACAAGGGTAAAATGTGTAAAATACCCTTAGATAACTTCTTCTGAATAATCAAGAGTCCAGGGGTAGTGATATTTGATCAATAGGTACCTGGGATGAGAGCTATAACGTTTCCTCAAATAAATGGCCTTGACCTACTTTCAAGGTTGGTTTGGTTTAAGTATGTTTAATGTCCTATTAATAGCTAAGGTCATTTAAGGATGTGCCTCCATGTGTGTAGTACTAGTGTACTGGTCAAATATGTAAATACCCATAAGCAACTTAGGCTAATAAAGGTGAGGATAGTTCGCCAGCAGAGGGCTAGCATGCAGTGCTATGGTATTTTTCTCAAAAAGCTGGCATTAACCTTCTTTTATGATAGCTAGGGTTATATGTGTTAAAAACCTTTAAAAACCCTGTTTCTGAATAACCTCAGCCTAGGGTTATGCTATAAAGCCAGTAGCAAACTTGGATGAAGGGTTTCTGAGTTTGTTAAAACAAATAACTTTGAAGGAATATTTGTGAAAGACTAGCAGACAATTTCCTGATAAAGGCTTTTGCTATAGCAGAGAAGAACACAGTTTGAAAGACCGACATTGTCCATTAGCTGGATTGCAAGAGTGCCCAGTACGGTTGGGAAGCAGGAAGGTCTAAATTCAGATCTGGCGCATTATCTTCCTTCATTCTTACAACAGAAGGAGAAAAAGTAAGATTATGACCTAAGTCAAGAAGAAAATACCTAACCTACGTCCGGTGAAGTCATCCAGTCCCAATTGAAAAGCCATTGAGGTATGTCGGCAGGAACTCCTCTGCTCCAAATACAGCCTATCAAGGTATAGGTATCACTGCTCCATCCCTGCTCCAGTTCAGCCATACGAGGAAATGAAATCTGGTACCAACAGATCCACTATACTACCATGGATGTCTGCTATCCCCAGGATCTGCAATGCATTATTCTGACAGAGTGTTATTATTTCATAACCTTTGCTTCACTACATAAAGCACAAAAACATGCATGCAAAGAAATAAACAGTCCATGATAGGAACACTGCTCTTCCCTATATGGAACCCATATACAACACACCAAATCAATGTCGGTTTCAATCAATTGAAACGTCTATATATAGAATCAGTTTATGTTTCAACACTTTTCCGAACGGATGAAATTCTGCATATCAATCTCCGTGGCCTATGCACGTTTTATATTGCGTGGTTGTATTTGTTATAGTCATTAGGGCATTTAACGCTATGGGTATGCCCGGATAGATTTCCTTTTGAAACACATGAAATAAGACAGTCTAAACAATATGTGTATCACTAAGTAGTGTGACATTTTTAGGACTCCCGTACCAATGCCAAAAACTATGAATTGAAAATTGTATTTTATTTTATCTTGTTTTATTTCTCTGATAAGTTATTTCTGTAGCAGGTAGGTTGTATGTGCCCCGCTTTCAGGACATGTATATGATCTAATCAGTTGAAACCTTGTTAATTATGCGTAAATATGCACGGATCACACCCACGATCGAGTTCAGCCTCATACCAAACATTGATCATTATCTAGCGCAGATATTGCACGGAAATCAATTAACCAATCACAAGTTTGTAATCTCAAGTGTGCGTAGAAATAGACGGATCACCTTTACGGCCACATGTTTTAGCTCATCTGGCACCAATACAAACTTTTAAACAACTTCCTTACGCAGATTGTTGAGTGTGGTTTGGACCTCATGAAATACAGACTCGTTGTTGGTTTTCATTTTGGATTTCTAGCTCTGAAATGGAATCTAATTCAGCATACTCTTCTTTTCTATCGTCAGGCAAATTCTTTCCAATATTCCATTAGTGTATTGGAAATAACATTCAAGTTGTTCTTGCCGTTTTGTTCAACACCAGCTGGTTGCGTTACTGTCAGACGACGAATGCTATATATATATAACCGTTTGAAAAAGTATCCCAATATCTTGGACAGGCGTTAGATAATAACCTGGACTGTTATTAAGATGATCGATTGCTGATCTTCTACCTCAAAGACCATAGGGCTCCGTAGGTATCAAAATGTTTCCAACAATAAATTATAATTTAAAATTTCGCAAATATATTTTATTAACTTAGCCATGAATTCCGAAGCATTCCCTACGGACGTGCTCTTTACTTCGGCGGAATCGAATCCAGTGGTAGAACCAGCTGAAGGCTAGACTCGAAAGTATTCAAAGGTAAAGTTGTCAGCTAGTATTACATGAATTGGAGGCTAGCAGACAGGTAATGCAGAAGTGATAGAAGAAAACTTAAGAGGTAATCCAACGAGGATCTTATCACATCGAAAATCCGCAACCCCATTTGTGAAAACGTGAAGGTTTTTGACTTCAGTTAAACATGAACAAGGTACAGCTGGACCCATATGTCATTTAGTCCCGACAACCAGTCTCGCAAAATGGTTCCAAGATTGAAAATGTCGCCGAAAGAATTAGGTGAGCAAATAGACCCATCAAAGGTAGTTTACGGCACTACAAGTCTTTGAAAAAGCAACATTATCCACCGATTGGAAGAAAGCTTTCTCGCCTAGTTTGAATAGAGACTGCGAACCAATCCAGCTAAACCCAGACCAGTATACCGTTATTCTGTGTAATATGATACCTGACTAGTAATGTAATCGTAACGGAGTTGTCGAAATCATTCGATTTAGGTTGCTAGCAAGACCCTCCTTTTCAAATAAATAAATATGGTAGTGAAATGGGAATTATGCTGGGACGGATACTAGTTGGTTTTAATGTAAATGCTTCTTATGAAATCCCACTCGGTAACCAAATTTTAAAGGTGCCTATCGTCTGTTAGTGTTTTACGATCCTTCTATCCGGAATTCATCAGGATTCTGTATCTGTATGACATATTTTGTATCTTATCATCAAAGCAAATGTTGACTATGAGACAAACAAAAGTCCTGAGGAAGATGTCAATAAAATAGAAGATTGGGAAAAGACGTGACAAAGGAAATCCGACCATGCCAAATGTGAAGTTGTCCCCTCCAGAAGTACACTTTATAAACACGTGCACAGAAGCTTAAATCAGCAACCACCTGTAAGTTTTCCGGAATCACCATCATAGAACATTTCATTTAGAAAAGGCACAAACAATGACACATAGACGTTGAGATTCTTTAAAAGAAATCTAAATGCCTTATCTCAGAAGGTTAAGGAGGGTGCCTCTATTTACTTGGTTCTACCGAAGCTGCTTTAGTAAATGGATTTGTCTTGTTGTACGTCCTATTAACAGCTAAGGTCATTTAATGACGTGCCGCCGTGTGTGTTGTGTATGCGTGCATGTGTGTTGTGTATGTGTGCCGGAGACAGGGTATGTTGGTGTATTTACCTCCTTGTTATAGCGCGAATCTGATACCGACTTTATAGTGCTCTACCTCACTGATATACCATGCCGAAGGCACCGCCAGCACAGCATTCCGCTCGGTCACATTATATTTACATGGATGAATCAGCTGTTGCCATTTCCTCGAAATGCTGAACTTTAAGCAGGGAATGACAGCTACCATTTTAAACTCATTGACCCCTGAAGTTCCATTTTTAACTATTCCAACCTTTGAATTGGAAGGGTTTAAATGTGTCTTCAGGGGTGAATGAGTTAAGGACTTTGGTATATCCCGGCTTGGGGAAAAAACCCATTGTCTTCCTCACCTGGGCGAACGTTCAACATTAAAGCCAAAAGTGAGGTATTGCCAAGCAAGGCGCTAGGAAGTAAAAGGTAGTAAGAAGTAGAGAGAAACCCGCAGCGTCTTGGATCCGAAAGCAATGAGAAATCCTCGTGTGGACCGTGATTCCACCGATAAATTATCGTGTATAACATTACGGATGTCCCCTTGTAGATATATTCCGTCTTTGCGTATTGCAGAGTTATCCTCTCTTGAGAGCAGGTATTCATTGTTACGTCATTTGTTTGTGAGAGTAACGGCATCAATTTTTGAGAAAACGAACCAATGACGTAACAATCAATACCTGCTCTCAAGAGAAGATAACTCTGCAATACGCAAAGACGGAATACCCCAAATGTCATGTTATTGTCGAGTTTATTTTTGTATCATCTACTAAAACGCCTCCCCGAGGTTACCTTATGGATTCTGGAGAGCCTTGCATTGCTACCGTTTGTCTTGTATTTAAGAGCATGCAGATTATCCAGTGGAGTACATTCTATGCGATACAGTCACACTCCAGTTTGTTCAGAATTGGCTGATGTGACACTTTATCAAAAGCCTTGCCAAGGTTTAAATACATCACAACAACGTGAATTCCTTCATTGATATATTTGGTCCAGTCCTCCTTTACCTTCAATGGTTATGTGATGCTCGATGTTCCTAACATGAACCAATCTGACTTTGGTTTGGTTTAGTTTAGCATTGTTTAACGTCCTATCAACAGCTATGGTCATTTAAGGACGGCCTCCCCTGTGTGCAAGATGCATGCGTGTGTGTTTTGGGAGACTGCGATGTGTTCGTGTTTGTCTCCTTGTGATAGCGTGGAACTGATGCCGACTTTATAGTGCTACCTCACTGAAACATACTGCCGAAGACACCCAGCAGGACACCCACCCGTTCACAGAGTTTGTAAAGAGGTTGTTATTGTTGATGCAATACTTTGCTTGGTAATGGTGTGAGGCTTTTTGGTCTATATGTTTGGCGTTTTTTTAATGGTAGGCCTTAACTCAAAACTATATCGAAGATCGGCGACCGGGTACAGCAGCAGATCAAGGCCACCAAAGATTAGAACTAAATTATGACGACAGTGACGAAAGAAATGTAATAAAGATTCTATTTATTCTTGGAACATTCTTTATCCTACCCATAGCTATTTGAATATCATGTTCAAACAATCTTAAAAATGAAAATAGGGTGTAATAATAAAAGTTAAGAAAATACCAAATTGTTAACCAAACTGTAATTTGAACTCAAAAATCGATAAAAATATGACAAAATATAAACAAACGACATCTGTACATGGAGTCCATTGAAAGATGTACAATGATAATAGGACCAGTTGTTCCGGAAGGACCAGCGTATTCTGCTTCATCAAAGACACCCGCCATGTAAATCTAGGTCAAATCCGATCAATGGTACGTCCTCATAGGGAGAATCGAGGTAGTGACATCAAAACAGGGCACACTAATTATATATAATGATACATGATGAAAAACATCGACCTTCATGTCACATAAAGAGCATATTTTCGAAGCGTTCAGAATTGGGCTGAAAGAAGGGAACCAATGACGGTCGGTTGTTGCTGAGAGACATAGCCAATATTTGGCAATAGTATTTTATGATTAATGAGAATATTTCCCCATGGTTGCATAATTTTCCAGGTGATATATATAGGTAGGCCTTCTAGGCCTCTTATTATATGGTGATAAGATGATATAGGTCAAGTGGTGTATAGACTGCGTTAAAATATATTTCTATTTTTACCAAATATGTTTTTGTCTAGCCTTACCGATTAAGTCTGTTCTTAAATTGAGTCGTTAAAATAAATTCTATATTGGGCGCAATTTTGGTATTTATTCACAAACTGTGATGTTTAGATATTTATATCTAATTTATTGTTTTGTGATAATGACGGTATAAAGCCGGAACATCACAAATAACTTTGTAGTGACATTAAAATTAAATTTATATAATTGGAATAGTCTAGATTATATGAATATTATTTATTAAAAATAAAAATATCATTAAATACGTTTTATCGTAAAATGTATTAAACAGCAATTCGAGTTAATGGTATCAATATTTCAAATTTGATATCACTTCATAGAGCTATTTTATGATATCATGAATTTGTATAAAATAGAATTTAGTAGAATTTTGATATATTTAACGTTAACTGGACAGGAACTTTGACATATGTATATTTTTGTGAAATTATTATATTTACGTTAGAGACGGGTTTTTTGTTTTGTTTTTGTTAAATCGAACGCGCCGTATTTTTCATACGGGCATTTTAATTTTTCCCGCCTTCAAGATTCTGTGACGTGTTTGATACGGTCGGGAGATTGTGAGTCGTTCGTCATGTCAAGAAAATTATTATAGTTACCCTTTCTGGTTGACATCAGTTTGATATTTGTTTTACAAGATTCTTGTAAGTATATTCAAATAGTGTAATACAAAGAAGTTTTAGGTCTGAATGTTTTAAACCGCCCAAACTCCGGCGCGCGCACACAGTGCAGACACACAAAAGTTTCTCAACTTTATTTTGGGGGAGCCTCTATCATATTCAATGTCCTTGTGACCTGATGTGACACATTAAGTTATCATTATTCATTATATTGTAATCAGAAACTGATCCTCAGACGGTATAAAGCATTTTAAAGGAGTCTGATTATCAGTAATTAAAACTTACTCTGGTTAATCTGTCCCATCTATCACTGATAGATGGGACAGATTTTAATTTCAATTTTTGAAAAATTAAAATGCTCTTTCGTAGATAGTATCAGGTCACACGAGATTGGTTTCATGAATTACACGTCCTGGAAAAGGTGAAAATTTTGATATAATTTATGCCGCAAGTTCCACAACTCATTGTGTGTTTAACAAAGCTGCATGACTCGTGTTTGGATGTTTTTTTTCTGTGAATGGCCCCATGTTCAGTAGAGACTGTAAGTATCCTAATAACTGCAAGATTCATATCATTGTCATGCAAACTATCAATATTAAAAGAATGAGATGCAATTTTGCAAATATCGAAAATATTTTGTAATTGGGAACGTTAATTTGATATAACTTCAATTATTTGATACTGTTTAAACTTGCACTTTAAATGATCCAATTAATGATATCTTGTTTGCACAGGTAAACACTCAAGTGTCCAGTATAAGACGCACAGGAGGAATTTTCATCATGGCTTCAGTAAGTTAAGAAATAACATTTCTCTCCCTTTTAACAAGGAAAGAAAGTAAGGGTAATCTGAAAATGAGTTGAAAAAAATAGTAAAAAGTAAATGAGTTTTAGAACAAAGTTAATTAGTACCTTGATAAAGTATACAGACTTCAATAAAGCAGGGGTTGACATTAATTTTTAATAGGTGGTGGGCGCAAAGCGTAGTAGCCGACGAGCATAGCGAGGAGTGAAATAGGGGTACAGGCACCCCCCCCCCCCCCCCCCCCCCCCCCCCCCCNAGTTTATATAAGAAAATCACATTTTGGACCAGCATTTGTTTAATTTCAATTGGAACTAATTCAAACTTGGTTAGCATTATCAGTATTGGATAGCAGTTTGATGATATGCACAAATCAGCCCTGACTGACCACCAGGGGCTGATGGGTGGGGCCAGAAAGGGTTGAATTTACTGAAATTTCAAAAATCCTCTCAAGACCCAGATATGGTAGAATCAAATATTCTTCTGCTTTACCAAAATTGTGAATTTCATGACCCTGGGGTCTCGCGTTTCCCCCTGGGGAGGGGGATACATTTTACTATAGTTTATATAGGGAAATCACATTTTGGACCAGCATTTGTTTAATTTCCATTGGAAGTAATTCAATTTAGGTTAGCATTATCAGTATTAGGTAGCAGTTCGATAGTATGCACATATGAGCCCTGACTGACCTCCAGGGGCTGATGGGTGCCCATACCGAAATAAGTTACAAATAGGTATAACTTTTTCGTACCTTTTCAGTAACTTTTTTGTACTCCTGATAAAAGGTACAAAAAAGTTATAACTTTTCGATACCTTAATTTAAACTTAAACTTTACTAGTGTACCTTTTTGTAACTTCTCTGGACTTTAAAAAATTCTGGTATAACTTTTAGTACCTTTTTCTGGACTTAGAAAAAAATTGCACTGCTGGTGAAAAACTTTGAACATTTTTAGTATAACTTTTTGTACCTTTTCTGGACTTAGAAAAAAATTGCAATGCTGGTGAAAAACTTTGAATATTTTTGGTATAACTTTTTGTACCTTTTCTGGACTCAGAAAACAATGCCAATTCTTGTGAAAAACTTTGTAACTTTAAAGTTAGAACATTTTTGGTACAGTGGAACCCAGTTACATATATATATCGGTTATAATGAGATTTTCCCCCCATGTACCCATTTTTTCCTTCTTTAACTAGGCAAAAAAATATCATTTATTATTATATGGTCAAAGGTAGGAACCCGCTTATTATGGTGTTTTTTTTCTGCTGTGAATTGATTTTAAAAGTAAGTTGTCCATGTGAAACACCTGGACAATTACGTAATAGGTCCGGCTAACTGTACATCGCCCGAGGTAATCATCGGTCCACTTCAGGTAAATTTTTCACACCTCGCTCCACCCCAGTCAGCGGAAAACAATAGATCGACCATCGCTTGCTGGTCATACATTTTGGTCTTAACAAAACATATGGTGCAGTTAATTGCTGTAGGACTGTATATCAAATTAAAATAATTAGACCTACTGAACACAAATTCCGATAAGACAACGAGCATGCCTTTCACAAATATTCACGGTTACCTTGACCAATCATGTGAGAAAATCATGCCGATTTCAATGAAAATATTACTTCAGAAGGAAGACCTGTGTATTTAATCATTTAAGCAATAGTTTCTCAATTGCATTAGAAGTCGATTTCCCGTGTTTCCGTTGAAAAAGAGTCAAATTCGAGACATACATTTGTAACGACAGCATGGTGCCGGAAATCGTTCCAAAGGTTTTACGTTATTGTCGTAAACAACTTACGACGGCTGCTTGGTTATTGTTACAAAGGGAATATTTTTTGTTTTCAATTATTATGGTTGTGTCCATACTATTTGTATTTAACAATAAATAGTTATGATTAATATGATGTAGGACTTTATCGTTATTGCAGCGACGCCCTATGCGAAAAATTAATCTCGCGTGACTATAAATAGCCTTATCAAATTGGCCAATGAAAAGCGCGCGGGTAAATTTTGTATTCGATCGACCTCTAGATTTTGAACTCTAACCCGGCGAGTCACAAGAAGTAAACAAAATATTGGAACGTGTTTTGGTTAACTGGAAAGACGATACCTACTTCATCATATCCTTGAAGACATTGGAACGTCCGTGAAAGAGCTTGGTATATACGCATTTGCTGATGAAATCCTTCATGAATCCCAGGTTTTCTGGGGAATATCATGGGAAGATCGTCGCCATTTCAGGGAATATTTCAGGTAAGCCATCAATTGTATTTTCATCGAAAGGATTCAATACAAAACGCAGAGTAAACATATCAAATTTATTAAATAAATACAGTACCATGACTGAGACGATGTATATTTTTTTCTTATATGTTTGATCTTTAGAGATGGGCAGATGGCAGTACTATCTGTTAAAAAACACCGATTATTTCGGTACCGATTACATTTTTCGTTTACCGAGCTACTATATTTGTATACAATTCGGAAAGTAGATCTACTTACCAGAATCCGTTTCGGTGTATAATAAGATTTTCGATATTTGTTTATTCTTTGTTCTTCAGGGAAAGGAAGGATATTTCAGTGTGATGTTTAATTTCTAGCTTAATATATACTCAAACCCCGTGCCGAATATATATTTTTCCTGTACAAGTATACACTTTTTCGTTTTTTATAAAGTTAACAAACACATTACAAATATTGAAATCATTATTGGAATTTCTCCTTCATGACATGAAATAACAGAAATTTAAAAGCCAATGCATCTTAATTTCCTATCAATATATTTTAAGATTGAATAATTTCTACTTAAATGGTTGCTTACTTATTTTTTGTTAATCTTAAATAGCTTTGGAATTTCTAAATTTCCTATGATTTTCTTCACCTATTTGAATTGAAACGTAAGAGTACCTAAAATAGAAATGTGAGCAGTACAATGGATGTTGTTTTTATAATCTTCATATATCGTTAAAAAGATTAAAAACTTTTCAAAAAGGAAATTTAAAGAGATATATCTGAATGTTTTTTAAGCAAATGGCATGCAAGTAGCAGGCACTGTTCAACTTCTGCATACTTCATCAAATATTGTTTAATGACGTCCTTTGAAAACATATTGAATTTTATTTCATTTTTTTGAGTAAAATTTTGAATTCTTTCAACTTGATAAAACTGATATTTATGCTTCTTTTGTTTTGTGTTATTAAAATAACTTGATATTCCTATGACTTGAAAGGGAAAAAAAAAATTCTTCAAAAATTGAAGTGTGCCATTTTAAATATTCCACAGTAAAGTTGCATGATCCCTCTCCTTCCACACTGCATGTCCTTACCCTGTTCCCTACAGAAACCTTTATGTATAGCTCAGTATATACATCAGTTAAATTAGAGAATTCCAATTTTTTAAATCACATTTTTTTCTAATATTTTCTCTTTTTCTAGATGATAACAAGAGCTGTGCACACTGATGGGGGAAAATACAGGCAGAAACAACAGATGAAGAATTCTCAGCTCCACCTCATGAGTCTGTTATAGAGGTCCATGAACCTCCCCCTCAACCCCCTGCTGCAAAGAGAATCAGTGCCGAAAACAAATCAAACAAAGGTGAGTTCATTGATTTAAGGTACTGATTTTGTGATCTTTTGTTTAAGCTTTTGTAATCTCAGAAGACTCCTCTGTCTTTTGTCTAACCTTATTGAAATTTGACAGCCTTTATATGGTTACAAGCTGAAATAAAAATGGCTTTCTTTTGGAATTTTGATTTCTACAATTATTAGGGCCCCACATCGAAGATGCGGGTATGTTCCCTTATAGTAATCAGGTTGTCCGTCTGTCTGTCCATTTTTTTTCTTTTGTACAATATTGATGGAAGTAAATGGTGTAAGTTTTTTAAAAAATTTACATGATGATTTCCCATGCATCCTAGTTCTGCTTGGTAATATTTCGGCAGATCTGAATCAAAATGGCTGCTAATCAGCCATATTGGATTTTAACATTAAACATTTTTTTTTTGCTCTTAAATTATCGGTAAACATTTTGTAAAGACATCATGAAGCAAAGTTGGTCACAATACAACAAGAAATCAACTTATCGAAGGTCAAAGTCATTGGATCAAAGGTCAAAGTCAGATTTTGTATCTTTTTACTGCTTAACAATTTATTATGACATGATGAAGCAAAGTTGATCAGAATTCAACAAGGAATCAACTGACCAAAGGTCATAGGTCAAGGTCACTGGATCAAAGGTTAAGGTCAAATTTTGTAGCTTTTCATGAATGAGCATTTAATGACATGACTTAATTCAAGATCAATGGTAAAGGTCAAATTTAGTATCTTTTCACTGGTGAACATTTCTTTATGACACTTTTTACTGATGAACATTTTGTTATGGTATTATAAAGCAAAGTTGGTCGGAAATAAAGAATAAGTCAACTGACCAAAGATCATGGTCACTGGGTTATAATTAAGGGTCAAGGTCATTTGGGTCCAATGGTCAGAGACAAAGTGGATCTCTTGACTTTGAACCCGGCTCTTGTTGGGGAGGTATTTAAGGTAAAATAAAACAGATCAAAGCCAACAAATAAGTAATGCACTGGTATTTACATTTAGATAGATTTTGCTATTACATTTATATAGATATTATATACCATTAACTCACAATGAACTGAAAAGCTTTTCATTTTGAATCTCTTTACAACATATTGTAAATATATTAGCAATCCGATCAACTGTTACAATGCTATTGTGTTGTGTCAAGATAAGACATTAGAGGTAAACATGTCTTTAATTTCTTGTTTACTTCCTGCTTGTTTAGGAGACTCATTTTAATTGCAAAATTATATTATTTTGTAAATTGTGTTATTGCTCCTTATCTTGACAGATGGTGGAGCTTATACCTGGGACTGGGGTTTATGTGTATCCCAAACACATAAAAACTACACAGAGGAAGACGAAGGGGAACAGGTCGACAGATATTTGATGTCAGTGTTCTTCACCAACACTGAGCTGGTCAACCTGGGAAAGGTTTGAACCAGACCATTGTTTGAGCAATAATTGGTAATTATGAATTAAAACTTTTTCATAACAGCACAAAAGAAAAGAGTTCTACAGCAATTCTCTTTATGTAGTAGTAATATCACTGAAATTACAAAAGTATCGCTATAGCTACTTGAACTGATTAATGGTGCCTGTCAGTGAATAATAAATAGCAAGTTTACCATAAAATGCTACCAATATAATTTCACCATTCATATTCATTAATTCCTAGAATTTTAAGTGATGAAGAAAGAATTAATAAAGTTGCAATTATGTTACTAGCTATTTTTCCTAAACCATCTGCTTTTCAACAGATTATGCTGAGGCGATTCATGGGAAAAGTGGCCTGTCAGAAATCAAGTTTTCAATGAGGACAAAAATCAGTGCTTTGGTCAGCTTGGCCAGGAGGAACTCAACCACATAGAACAAATGAGACATTTCAACTTTTAAGAACTATTAATATGATTGTTTGTTGTAACTTTACAAGAGATATTCTATTAATGATTATTTTAGGAATGGTTATGTGAAATAGTTGTGAATACAAGAGAATAAAAGTGAGTATGCTAGTGTCAAAGCTGGAGAGAGTCATGGTCAATGCAGGGCACTCCCTGAAAGTCAGCATGAGAGTATATTTATTGTGTATTATATTGTAAAATAATAGTAACTACAGAAAGTATTTATATAATAGTAACTACAAGAAAATATTTTTGATGCAGTAAGTGCAAGAGAATATCTAGATGATAAATAGTAACTTCAAGAAAATATTTATATAATAGTAGCTAAAAGAAAATATTTATTCATATAATAGTAACGTAAAGAAAATTATTTATATTATAGTTACTACAAAGGAATATCTATTTATATGATAATAACTACAAGAAAGCAGGTGATATATAATGGTAACTTCAAAGGAATACTGTATCAAAATAGAATTTCATTTAAACAACAGATCCAGTAAAAGTTAGGTCATGATTTTTTTTTGATACCTTTTCATAATACATGAGAGGTTTATGAAGCTTTAAAAAGTTATACCTAACAAATGCGTTTTCTCCATTTTTCAGTACCTCAGAAAAGCATATCTTTTTTGTAATTTTTTAGTTACTAAATAAAGTTATAACTTTATTGTACCTTTTAACTAGAACTGTTTCTGTACCTTTTCAGTATCTCAGAAAAGTATAACTTTTTTGTACCTTTTTAGTACCTAAATAAAGTTATAACTTTATTGTACCTTTTTACTAGAACTGTTTCTGTACCTTTTCAGTATCTCAGAAAAGCATAACTTTTTTGTACCTTTTTAGTAACTAAATAAAGTTATAACTTTATGATACCTTTTTCCATGTGCTTTAGTGGCTAAATGTAACTTTTGTGTACCTTTTATTTGCCAATAAAGTGATGATTGAACTTAACAAAGTGTTTGAGTGTAACTTTTTAATACCTTTTTGTAACTTTTTAGTACTAGATTGAAACTCTTTTCTCACAAGGTTCCAATCTAGCATCAAAAGTTATAACTTTTTTGTACCTAAAAAGAAGTAACTTTTTTGTAACTTTTTTCGGTATGGGTGGGGCCAGAAATTGTCGAATTGACTGAAATTTCAAAAATCTTCTCAAGACCCAGATATGGTACGTAGAATCAAACACTCTTCATAGATGGAAGGGTCTTAAGGTGCTTTACCAAAATTGTGAATTTCATGACCCTGGGGTCTCGCGTTTCCCCCCTGGGGAGGGGGTAAACTTTACTATAGTTTATATAGGGAAATCACATTTTGGACTAACATTTGTTTAATTTCCATGGAAATAATTCAATTTGGGTTATCATTATCAGTATTGAATCGCAGTTTGATGGTATGCACATATGCACAAAACAACATTTAGGAAATTGGAACAGTGAGGCAGAAACATTTGAATCTTCATAGATTAAGGAAATGAACAAAACTATAATATGACTGAATTATACTTAATTTCAAACAAAATGGAAAATTTCCACTTTTTGCAGGTTGATAAAATTGCATAAACAATTAAATATTAGGTCTGATGTTTGCATTGCCCTTCTGGTTTTCACATAGCCAATGTCTCTTGGTCTACCATTTCTTTTGCACACTGTTTATGTGCAGTCATAGTATGAATTGACTTGTCTGTATAATATTATATGTTTGATATATAAGCAGTGTTTATATTTGACTCTTGATGCAATTCCATGTCTCCTTTAGGAGTCTGGATAAATTTCTTCACTTTTAAGTTTAGGAAATACATGTAGCTACCACAGGTACCCTCATTAATGTGAAATGTGCTGACATTAAGAAAAAATGTCTGCTTGGCTCTATTTAAAAATTAACAGTTCATATAAAAATAAGGTCACAAAGTAGAGTGATGATTTGTCAACACCTATACAAACAGTTACACAAGTTTTTAACATCGTGTACTATAATTTTGATCTGTGACTGACAGATATATTATCTTTTTTAAAATGATAGTCTTGGTGCCCATTGTTTATAATTTTCTATTCATAAGAATAGACTTTAGTATAGGAGGATATAGCTAAATTTGTACACTGCTGATAACAAAAGCCAAACTACTGCCAAATAAATATAATATGTGTTTGAAGCTTTTTTTTCAAATGTGACTATAGATTTGATAAATCATTTCTCAACCAAACTCATTATACCTTGTGAAACTTTTGTGAAAAATTAACAACTTTTAAATGAAATAAACAAGATATGGTCAACAACAGTGTTCTGAGTGTAAAAATTAAGTATGACAAAACAAGATTCGAACCCAGGACCTCTGGTTAATATACTGTCACTCTAAGCTACCTGGTCAACAAAATCATCCTGGCCCAATTGTGCTAGAGTTATATCTAAACGAAATTAAGACGGACTACTGGACATACAAAAAAACCCACTGGAATTCAATTTCTGTTAGTATTTCGCCTGCAGTGAGCAACACAAATCATTTAGCAAGTTTCAAGATTTACAACAGCAAATTGGTGAAGTAAGATTAATGGTGGTAACGTTTATCAAAGAATGTGTATAAATAATTAAAAAATATTTTGCAAACTGAATCATGAATACAGTAGCTCCAACATCGATTGTTTTGTTATAAAGTTAATTTCATTCCATTTTTTACAGAAATTTCCTGTTGTACCAGGCATGCCGATGCTGGATTTTTCTGCCTTGGACAAGCAGAGTGATAATATTGATGAATTCTTCACTACAGCACAGCTTTCCAAAATGTCGCAATATGAGATACTGCGATTTAAGAACATGAGAAAAAATTACGAAATGATGGCATCTCTAGGTATACATTAATTAAAGTCATTACTGTCAGGGTGTCACAGTAATTCTGTCAGTAAATGTGATTAGCACAGACAGTCTAAGAAAAGGTTTTGTCAGGTTTTTAGATCATCTGAGCTTTAGCTCAAGTGATCTATTGCTATCCGTCTTCGTTCGTCGTCCGCTAACATTTTACATTTTACATTTTCAACTTAAGCTGAAATACTGGCAAAGGGATTTCATTTATATTTCATGGGAAGGTAACTGACATCTCCTTGACCAAGTGTTGCTATTTTTTGGGTCGATCAGAAATCCAATATGGCCGCCACGGCCGCCATTTTGAAAAACTATTTCAAGTTTAAAGTCAAGTTCTGCTGGCCGATTGAACTGAAACTTGGTAGGAATGATCGACTCATGGTCCTGACAAAGTGTTGTTATTTTTCGGGTCAATCAGAAATCCAATATGGCCGACACTCAATTTGGTACATATTTCAACAACAAAAATAAATACTGTAGGACTCAGGTGACTGTTAAAGGGGCATCACGGTGAAGTAACTTTATTTTTTGTCTTTTTTTCATATACTACATAAACATATCAAGTGAGACTCCTTATGGAAAATAGCGATCGGATTTGGCTGAAATAGATTCATAAAAATGATTAAATCTAAGAAAATCATCGGTATTTCTACCTGTCTGACCAACGTTTTGTTCAGGGATTTCCCTCTACTAGCGCATGCGCATAGCACACCATTTCTTTGTAAACAAAATGACTGGCCGTGTGAAGTAAGCGAAAGAAAAGTGTTGTACCGTGTCAGCTACGAAACGAAAAGTTGCCAAATGGTCAAAAGATAGCGCAAGGAGTACGTTACGGAATCATTATTGCAGGTGGGCAGTATTCAAAGAAGAAAATAACTGCCGTAGCAGTTAGTACGGTGCATGTATTCTTCCGGATAGCCGGTTAAGCTGAAATGGAATCGACAGAAATGCT